TCGGCTCCGAGACTCGAGAGAGCGGCCTGTGCTGCTTCGAGGACCAGCCGTGCAGGTACAACAACACGGGCTGCTACTCCGCAGCGTTGGCGCAGCAGAAGGCGAGGACGACGCCCACGAACGACGCCGAGTGCAAGGCCGTGCCAGGCATCAACACGGGCTTGCCCATCGTCTACGACTCGAGCTGCCCGGGCCTGTGCTGCTTCGAGGACCAGCCGTGCAGGTACAACAACACGGGCTGCTACTCCGCAGCCTTGGCGCAGCAGAAGATGAGGACGACGCCCACGAACGACGCCGAGTGCAAGGCCGTGACAGGCATCAACATTGGCCTGCCCATCGTCTACGATTCCAGCTGCCCTGGCTTGTGCTGCTTCGAGGACCAGCCGTGCAGGTACAACAACTCGGGCTGCTACTCCGCAGCTTTGGCGCAGCAGAAGGTGAGGACGACGCCCACGAACGAATAAAACAACAAGGCCGTGCCTGGCATCAACACGGGCCTGCCCATCGTCTACGACTCCAGCTGCCCTGGCCTGTGCTGCTTCGAGGACCAGCCGTGCAGGTACAACAGCACGGGCTGCTACTCCGCAGCCTTGGCGCAGCAGAGGGCGAGGACGACACCCACGAACGACGCTGAGTGCAAGGCCGTGCAGGGCATCAACACTGGCCTGCCCATCGTCTACGACTCCAGCAGCTCCATCTGCCCGGCCTGTGCTGCTTCGAGACCACCGTGCAGGTTACAACAAACGGGCTGCTACACCGCAGCCATGGCGCAGCAGAATGTGATGACGAGAAACGCCCACCGAACGACCGCCGAGTGACACAAGGCCGTGACGGCAACAACACGGGCCTCCCATCGTCTACACTCAAGCTGCCCTTGGACAGTGCTGTTGGAGGACCAGCCGTTGAGTACTAAAACAACACGGGCAGCTACTGTCCGCAGCCTTGGGCAGACAGAAGGTGAGGACGACGGCCCACGAACGACGCCGAGTGGCAAGGCCGTGAAGGGCCATCAACCGGGCCTGCCCATCGTCTACGTACTCCCGCTGCCCCGGCTGTGCTGCTTCGAGGAACCATCCCGTGCAGGTACAACAACACGGCTGCTACTCAGCACCTTGGCGCGATGAAGGTGAGGAACGTAGCCCACGAACGACGCCGAGAGCAAGCCGTGAAGGGCATCAACACGGGCCTGCCCATCGTCTACGACTCCAGCTGCCCCGGCCTGTGCTGCTTCGAGGACAGCCGTGCAGGTACAACACCACGGGCTGCTACTCCGCAGCCTTGGCGCAGCAGAAGGTGAGGACGACGCCCACGAACGATGCCGAGTGCGAGGCCGTGCCGGGCATCAATACTGACGAGCCCATCGTGTACGACTCCAGCTGCCCCGGCCTGTGCTGCTTCGAGGACCAGCCGTGCAGGTACAACACCAGCCTTGGCGCAGCAGAAGGTGAGGACGACGCCCACGAACGATGCCGAGTGCGAGGCCGTGCCGGGCATCAATACGGACGAGCCCATCGTGTACGACTCCAGCTGCCCCGGCCTGTGTTGCTTCGAGGACCAGCCGTGCAGGTACAACACCACGGGCTGCTACTCCGCAGCCTTGGGGCAGCAGAAGGTGAGGACGACGCCCACGAACGATGCCGAGTGCGAGGCCGTGCCGGGCATCAATACGGACGAGCCCATCGTGTACGACTCCAGCTGCCCCGGCCTGTGCTGCTTCGAGGACCAGCCGTGCAGGTACAACACCACGGGAGGTACAACAACACGTGCTGCTACTTCCTCACCTGGCGCAGCAGAAGGTGAGGACGACGCCCACGAACGACGCCGAGTGCAAGGCCGTGAAGGGCATCAACACGGGCCTGCCCATCGTCTACGACTCCAGCTGCCCCGGCTGTGCTGCTTCGAGGACCAGCCGTGCAGGTACAACAACACGGGCTGCTACTCCGCAGCCTTGGCGCAGCAGAAGGTGAGGACGACGCCCACGAACGACGCCGAGTGCAAGGCCGTGAAGGGCATCAACACGGGCCTGCCCATCGTCTACGACTCCAGCTGCCCCGGCCTGTGCTGCTTCGAGGACCAGCCGTGCAGGTACAACAACACGGGCTGCTACTCCGCAGCCTTGGCGCAGCAGAAGGTGAGGACGACGCCCACGAACGACGCCGAGTGCAAGGCCGTGAAGGGCATCAACACGGGCCTGCCCATCGTCTACGACTCCAGTTGCCCCGGCCTGTGCTGCTTCGAGGACCAGCCGTGCAGGTACAACAACACGGGCTGCTACTCCGCAGCTTTGGCGCAGCAGAAGGTGAGGACGACGCCCACGAACGACGCCGAGTGCAAGGCCGTGATGGGCATCAACACGGACCTGCCCATCGTCTACGACTCCAGTTGCCCCGGCCTGTGCTGCTTCGAGGACCAGCCGTGCAGGTACAACAACACGGGCTGCTATTGAGGGGAGAGCTGTTGTGTATTATGGGTGGCTAAGATTTGCTGCCGCACTAGAAGGGTATGTCCGAGGCCTAGAGGTTGACACCAACACCAATATCGGCGGTGTTCCTCCATGGAGGGAAGAAGATCCCGATCTCGCTGATGGTGGTAATTATGGCTTCCAAGGTGGCCGAAATATTACCACCAACACCGAAATCTAGGATCATCTTCCCCCTGTGGAGGCAACGCCCTGTGTTGGTGCTGGTGCCGAGTTCCAGGCTCCGAGTATGGTGAGTGAGTGAGTGAGTGAGTGCATTGTGCGTTGTGCCAGCTCCGGCAGTGTCGATCTTGTGTTCTGCGATTTCAGTTTCGTGTAAGCATGCTGGCTGTGCCCAATGTCCACGGCGCAGCAGTATGTATACTTAATGCATCTCCTGCGTTCCGACTCCTGGACCTGAATGTCTGGGGGCACTTGGGTGGAGCGGCCGCTTCGTGTTGTGACCGTTTTTGCCCACGTGTGGTCTTGTCACAGGAGGGATTGGTCAGATCAATGCATCTGCATATTGGTCAAAAGATGGCCCGCTTAAAAATGTCATGACATCTCAGTAGTGTGTAGCATTGAATAGCAATGCGTGGCGTATCGTAGCATACGTTGCTCCGCATATAAAGCATGACCGATCATTACGTACCGTAGTGCAGTGTGGCAGAGCACATCAAAACATCTACAAACAATTCGCATAATGACAGCATGCGTTATTCTTCACGCTTCGCGTATCCCCATCAGTGCTGGCCGCTGAGGTGCCGCGTGAGGCTTCGGCCCACCGCTTTAGGTTAATTCGTCTTTGCGCGCCCCGCTCTGACTGGACTCGCCGCTTGCGCGCTTGCCTGCGGCCGCTGACTAAGAAGTATCCCCATCAGCCCATTCGGAAACCCTGCCTATGAGAGTTGACGGAAAATAGACGTGTGAGACACATGTACTGAAACACAGCGGGCAACCAAGTGAACAGAGGGCAGTCCTTGGGGCCGCGTGGGGGCGAGGGAAGGAAGAGGAAGAAAACAACGACGACGAGGAAGAGGAGGAAAGGACAAGGATGACGATGAGGGCAAGGACGAGCAGCGAGCACATGGGAAGACGCGCCGAGTTCGGGTTCGGGAACTTAAAGAGAGATGGGAACAGCGTAGTGGCACAATCTATCACGTAACACAGGACAGCGCCAACGCCGAGACAAATAGCGTAGTCGAGCGAGGGGGATGCGACATCGCCGACGCATCACTCGAGGCCCCACTCCGCCCACGAGCACACAAGACTAAGCCAAGCGAGTTCACACCGACGCTAGTTTAGCGATATGAGGCCTAGCCAACAAACGGCCTCATCAGTGGCCACGAGCTCTCTGGACACGGGAATGGGGGGTCCACCTTTGGCTTTTTTTGGGTGGACCCTTGACATGAAATTATTATTGCGCCATTGGCGCTGGTGGTTGTCAACCAGCAGGTCAGGGTCGCAGTAATTATACAGCTGCGACCTGTCCCCGCGAGCTGACTACGCCCCACATAGAGCACAACCGGCGATATCATTGGCAATGTACAGTCGGTGGCCACGAGCACTCGCGGGCGGGACGGGCCCCTCAGGTGGCAACGGCCCCCCAGGAGGGACAGCGTGGCACCTGCCGAGAGGGGTTAAGCTCCGACGGCGCTTCTTCGAGCCAACCTCCACCGCGGTCCGAAGGCCCTCCGTGGGCCCAGAGGGGTTTCCAGGACGGGCGCGAAGGAGACACGCGGACGCACTTTACGCGCGAATTCCGCCGACGGGTCGGGCGATGGGCGCCCTGGAGGTGGAGGGAGGCGAGGGAGGGAACACCACCGAGGACGAGCAGGGGGGAGCGGGGTCGAGGCCAGGCTTGTCCTGGTCCTGGCACGTAGTGGCCTGGTCAAGCGGCGCGCCCTGCTGAGGGCCGCTGCTCTCGTGAGCTTCATTGGGGGGAGGAGGGAGCCGGCAGGGAGGCTCACACGAGGACGATGGGGTGGGAACGGGGCCTTGCGGAGCACTCTTGCCAGTGACTCTCCTACGAACGGTTCAGCTCTCGACATTTCCTGAGGCTCTCTCGAGGATCCTCTTGGGGCCAGGTCCTGGGGCGTCAAACCGAAGGTCCGCGGGGGGGGGTCGGCACTGCACGGCTGCACACAACATGGCTCGGCACCCATCCGCTTCCTTCCCGCCCAGGACCTGGCAAACCTAGGGCATCTGGCGCGCTTCCAGCCTAGTTTGTACACGATGGGGGCGTGCGGCACAGCGCCAAGCGCTATCTCAGGGTGAGCTCGCTTTTCATTCACTCTCTCGGGGCGAACGCCGCCTCCCGCACGCCTCGGCTTGCGGCCGACCGTCTCGATCCTGTCGGAGGCCGCCTCGTCCTGCATCGACTGGGAGTTGGCGGTCCACGCCGCCACCTGGCGGAGCTCCTGGAGCAACTCGGTGCGTTTTGCGATCGCATTTTCAGTGACCTCATGATATCGGAGCCCCCGTTTGGCCGCAATGTCCGCTTGCTCGTTGCCCACATTTGACCAGTCGATCCGTCGTGGTCAACTCCGACTGGGGCGCCTTGACCCACGAGATGCTGTGGTCCTCCGAGATCCCACCTTGGTCCTGCACCAGATGCAAGCACCGCGCTGGGCCCCTGTGCATGCCACGTTGTGACAATCCGTCTTGATGGCCACGGGCAGCACGGCGTGGTTCAGCACCTGGACGATGGCGCGCAGCTCGGCTCGAGGCACTGACTGCTCGAAGCCTGGGGGCAGCCCGTGGATTCAAAATATGGTTATATTTAACGACGCTGGTTTCTTTCGTTATTATTGCAATGAAACGGGCGTGTGATCGGGTTAAGAAGGGCAGCGGTTTTCGGATGCAACGGCAACCAGTAAGGATGCACGCGGGCAAGTTGTGAAGGAACAGTGATACCTACATCGCAGATGCTGGGCGCTTGCGAGTAACCTTTGCGTTTGAAGGCAGCAGGGCCTGGTCTACTGATTCGTTCGCTGTCACAGCATGATTCATACGGGGCACGAAACTAGGAGGTGCTTCTGTGAAAAGAAGATGGGAGGACTGGGCCAATATATCGTGCTCTGCAAAAGAATGCGACTGGGCACGTTGGCACTTTGATAAGAAGCCTATGAACACCTTTGCCAACTTCGCCGCAGCAGCGATGCACAGAGCGTGTCGTTGTGTTTGCCGCATGACGTTTCTGTAAAAAGCCTTCAGCTGCTTGTGGAACGCTTCGTTGCGAGTGGTTCCAAATATGACGTCATGATTTGGGTTGTTGGCGACGTACTTGCAAAACAATTGAATGTATCCCAGCTCCTGCGCCGTGGTCGCGTATTCCGAACTGCTGAGCACCGTGGTATTCTTAACTGTTTTGCGATGCATCATGTTTGGGTGTGCTGAGCAGATCGCTGCCAGGTCCCGGATGAAGTCGCACATAAAATCGCACGACTTCTCCACGTAGCTGCTGCTGTTTTGGATGCGGTGGTACAAACGTTTCGCATCTGATGACCAGTTCGGAAGGCCCCGTTCGGAAGGCCACCAGTTCGGCCACCAGTTCGGAAGGCCCCGCGCGGCCATCACTACACTGAAAATAACGAGATCTGCCAAATCCCCCGAGGCGAAGTTTAGCAATGCATTTACGAACGCTGGAAGAGAATGCCGTCGTCATTGCATTGGATGCTTGCTCGACCTTGAGGGCAATGTGCAGCAGGTCTTTGCCGGCGCATTTCAGGTTAGGAAACGCGGCGCGCAATTGGCTGCACTTGTCTGAAGACGCAGGAAAGTCGGATCAAATCATCTGCGCCTTCTCCGCATCCACTCTGCGAACAGAATTCCGAAGAGCGCGCGCCTTCTGGACGGGGTCTTCCGAACTGGAACCGAAAATCTCGAGTATGCTGTCGCTGCACTGGACAGTAATGAGAACGCGCAATGGAACCCGATCTCGCCGTGGAACTGCGTCTTGCTTCTGTCCGCGCGGAACTTGGCACAGCACAGACATGAATGACTTGTAGAGCCCATCCACGCCCAAGACGCGGACGTCGCAAGCCGCGCGGCATCTTTCCACGGCACGCCGGACACTGATGTGATTGGCCATCTTCTCGTTTAAAGTATGGTAGAACGCTTCCCCGGTCGGGGACAGATGCGATTTGTCGCCCGACTGAGCAACGAGAAAAGAAGCTATCCGCCGCGCAGCCCCCTTCGTATTCGGGTGAACCACGGCAGCGAGGTTAGCGTTCAGGAAGACGCCAGTGCAGTAAAACTTGTCGGGCACCTTGTGGTGCCTGTTGCAATCCTCCGTTAGCGCATACTTTGTGTTCGCTGAGTCCAATAAAATGGTGATTTGTTTGTCCAACCGCGTCGCATCACAAGCGAGTTGGCCTTCCCACTGCGACCACGAGGGGCTCTCCTCCAACTGAGATCTGACGCGCCAACTACGCAGCGATTCACAACGTTTCCAGCAGAGATCTGACCATCGCATCCGCACAGCTCGTTAAAGCGGGACCGTGATACCATCTGGTCCCATTGCCCACTTACATCGTATTGCATTTTTTTGTTTGAAATAGTGCTGCAGCGATCTTTACTATGATATCTGCTCATGTGCGTGATCAGATAACGTTTCTCGCTGAAGTCCCTGGCGATGCACATTGGGCACCCCCAGTGATGCGGAGAACCGAACTTGGCGTAGTCGCCCATGCAACCAGTTAGGCTCCACCAGTGAAGAGCCTCCCCTCGCGCTGCCGCAGCCAATCCCTCAGGCCACCGATCTGATTTCACGCCCGCTCGACCTGGGGCGGTAGCTGCTGAGCCCCTGCTGGAAGACGCAGGCCGCTTCTTGATGGTTTTCCGGGCTCCCGTGCCACAAAGCGAGTCGCGCCCCAGAGATCGGCGTTGGCGATCGGGCTGTTCGCTCTGCAAATGAATCACGAAGGCTTTCTTCAAACCGTGCCTGAGATCACAAACCAAGGTGTTGAAGGCGGCTGCAGAGACCATCTCGGCTGCGCCGCGTTGGAAACTGACGAGCGCGCACTCGCCGACGTGGAGAG